CCATATATATCCAATCTCTCCTCCCCTAAGGGAATGCTCTGCTCTGTCCAATGACAGAATGATGGGTTTAGGGTATAAAATAATCCTGCTTGCCAGGTGCTGGTGGTTCATGCCTGTAATCTTAGCTACTCTGAGGAGGCTGAGACCTGAGGTTCATAGTTCAAAGACAGCCCAGGCAGGAAAGCCTGTGAAACTCTTATTCCAAAATCTGGAAGTGAAGGTGGTTCAAGCAGACCAAAGATCAGAGCTCACGCCCTGAGTTCAAGTCCCAGGACTGGCATATATCCCCAAATAAATCCTGCTTATTAAGAGTGTATCACCTACTATCCTTCAGTAGTTATTGTGGCTTACTAATCAGATATGCAAACTGTATTTTTAATGTAATGATACTGAAAAAAATAATACACAGTAATTTTATTATATATTTTTTTCTATGTCAGTCACCCTTCCAAGCACTCTGGAGTCACCTAATTTTCAAGCAACCCTATCTATGCAGACTACTCTCACTTTCAGTAGATGAAGAAACAGAAACAGTACAGAGAACTTAAATACCTGTTTAAGATCAACACAAATGGGGAGTGGAAAAAAATCCTATCAATTCTATTGACCTACAAAATATGGCAAATAGCAATGTAGTCCTTCATAGGATTCAGTATGAACATTAAAAACAACTGTTTCCCATGTGCTCTGAACATTCTGAAAAGCACAGCAAAATTACTGATACTGGCCAAGTAGAAGAGGTACAAGAAGCAAAATGCTGGGTGTAAGTGTTTTTACAGACTTAGGCTCCAAAGAATAGAAAAGCAGAAAAAAAAAAAAAAACCCAACCAAATGTGTTTTTGAACAATGAATGTTGTTTTCCTTCAGCCTTAAGGGAATTTTGAAGCTTGACGGATCCCATTCAGCTTTCAAAGCATCCCACATTCCACACCCACAAGCACATGCCAGAAGGTGCCAATCCAGCCAAGTCTGAGTTCAGGAACAATTTTCTTAATTTTGGATTGGATTTCTTGACCATCCACACTCCACAGATGAATCCTGGCTATGGCTCTATTTGGTCGGATGAAAAGAGCTTAAGCATTTATCAACTAATTAGTGGAAAAAGAACATTTCAGCAAGAGAGACACACAAAGGCAGAAATAGAAAATGATGGTATTACAAAAAGATAAAAATCATTGCCCAAAGTTCTTGGAAATTTTAAAGGTACGTTTTGCATATGCTCAATTCTAGTGAAGGACTTTCTGAAAAAAAAGTCTCTGGTGACAGAAAATGTGACTTCCTCCATTTGCAGAAAAATTTTCTTTTGTAGAGGAAAAAGGAAATGTTTATAATATTCACTCTGTTTATTCATCTCATTTATTGGAACCACAATTGTTCTGAGTGTCATGCTAGGCACCAAAATACAAAAATGGAAACTCATAGACCTTGTTATCTAGCACAGCTGACGAGATGGACAAGCAAAAGAATAGAGTAATAAATGTGACAAAATAAATATATAGAAGTAAGGTCAAAATGGTGAATGGAAACTATGTTGCTAAGATTCTGGAGTTCATTCTGCAGACAAAAGAATTAACTTTTTTATTAGTGTATATTAATAGTACAAAAGTGTTTCACTGTGGCATTTCATCAGATTTTAGGAAGATCCTGCCATTGTCAATACAAAGGTTAGGAATTGTGCCACCACAGGTAACATGCTGTTTGAGATAGGGTCTTGCTTGCTAACTTTATTTTGCCTAGGATGGCCTGGAATTTTGATTCTATCTCTGCCTCCCAATTGTTGGGATTACTGTTATAAGCCACCATCTCTGCCTTTAGAAATTATATAATTTTTAAAAAGTGTTGTTTAATTTCCAAGTTTTTGAGGTTTCCCTACATATACACCATTAGTTTATAATTGAATTCCACTGTAGAGAATACACGTCGTATGGCTTGAATACTTTACACTATAGTAAGAGTTGCCTCATGGCCCAGAATAGGGTCTCTGTTGGTACATACTCCTTGTACTCTTGAAAAGAATGTGTAATCTGCCCTGACCTTACTGTGCTCACTTCTGTGCTCTTTGTCACTTAGAACTTCAAGCTGATTGATAGTAAGGATTTACTGATTGTGTACATTCTTTATACTATTACACATTTGGAAAGGAATATTAAGATTTCTAACTAGTATATACATACATATATATCTATACACATACATATGTGTGTGTGTTTTCCCTTTCAGTCCTGGGGCTTGAATTCAGGGCCTAGGCACTGTCCCTGAGCTTCGTTTGCTCAAGGCTAGCACTCTACCACTAAAGCCACAGCACTATTTGCAGCTTTTTGTTGTTGTGGTTGTTCATGTGGTACTGAGGAATTGAACCCAGGGCTTCATGCATGCTAGGCAAGCACTCTACCACTAGGCCACATTTCCAGCCTCCTCCAACTAATATTTTAAACTGTGGATTTGTTGATTTTTGTTTTCTTGTGCTGTAGTTCTATCAATTTTGTGTATGTGTGCCAGTCCTAGGGTTTGAACTCAGGGTTTGGGCACTGGCCTTAAATTTCTTGTGCTCAAGGCTGGAGCTCTACCACTTGAGCCACTGCTCCAATTTTGGCTTTTTTTTTTCTTTTTTGTAGTTAATTGGAGATAAGCATCTAATGGATTTTCGAGTTGGTTTTGAACTGTGATCCTCAGATTTGTAGTTAGCCTTACAGGTGTGAACTACCAGTTATTATTTCATAACTTTTGAAAGTTATTAGGTAAATATTTAGGATTGCTATGTACTCTTGCTAAGCTGGCCTTTTTATTATTATGAAGAAATCTTTATCCAGATAATAATCTTCACTTTGAAAGCTAATTGTCTGATACCAATGCTGCTAGCCCAGCTCTGTTTTGCTAAGTGTTAGTATGGTATATTTTCACATTCCTTCTTATTTATTACTTTTTTGACCCTCCTGGGGCATAAACTCTGGGCCTGGGCACTGCTCCTGGGCTTTCATGCTCAAGGCTAGTGTTCTATTACTTTGAGCCACAGCTCCACTTCTGTTTTTCTGGTGGTTAATTGGAGATAAGGGTCTCATGGACTTTCCTTCCTAGGCTGGTTTTGAACCAAAATCTCCAGATCTCAGCCTCCTGAATAATTAGGATTATAGGCATGAGCCATCAGTGCCTGGCTAACTTTTATTATTATTATTTTCCGGTCGTAGGGCCTGAACTCTGGGCCTGGGTGCTGTCCCTCAGCTCTTCAGCTCAAGGCTAGCACTCTACCACTTGAGCCACAGCACCACTTCCAGCTTTTTTCTTTTTGCTTATATGGTGCTGAGGAATCGAACCCAGGGCCTCATGCACGCAAGGCAAGCGCTCTACCACTGAGCCACCTTCCCAGCCTCAACTTTTGATATCTTGAGAAACACCTTTTTCTTTTTTTTTTTTTTGAGATGTTAGAGCTTGATTTCAAGGATCATGCATGTTAAACTAGCACTCTACCTTTGAGCTTTATCCTCAGAACTCTTCTGTGAAACTTTTACTGGTGCAATAAATTAGTTTTAAGAACTCTTTCAACAAACTGTCATATTTATAATGAATTGTTTCTTACAGTAGGCACCAGCCCACTTGAGTCTTTCATGCTCCAAGCTTTTTTCAGGTAAAGTATTGCGTGCTTTTTTATTGTTGCTTGCATGCCTTCTTTCTCTTTCTCTCTTTCCTTTCTTTCTTTCTCCTTCCTTCCTTCCTTCCTTCTTTTTGCTATGGGCTAGCCTGACTATATTTCTCCTACCTAAGGCTTTCCATGTACCTGAAATCAAGGATGCAGGCTACTATGCCTGGCTCAATCCTATTTATTACTTTCCAGATTAAAGTATTTAAATTCCTTATTACACTTTTACTTTAGAGCATGCTTTAGATACTTGGAATAAATTATTTTCTGTATTTAGGTCATATTAATATCACTATAACAGGAATACAAAAATTCTCTAGTTAGGAATAGTAGTGGATGCCCTTAATTCTAGCACTCAGGAATCTGAGGGAGGAGGATCATGAGTTCAAGGCCAGCTTGGGCTACACAGTGAGACTCTGTCTCAGAAAATCCAAGGATTGTGAATGTAGTTCAGTGGTAGAGTACTTGTTGAGCATGTACCAAGCAGGCCCTGGGCTTGATCCCCTAGGACTGCAAAAAAAAGGAATTCATCCAAGTCTGCCATCTAAAAAAATCAAAATACAATCTTGGAAGTTAAGAAGAAAACACTTTTTAAAAAGTATGATTCCAGGATCATACAGAAGGTTTAAATCTATTTTTTTCAACAAAATTAATTTATAAATAATTTAGAGCCATTAGATCCAACATGATTACTAACTCAACAGGAAGCTAATCAGTCTTCAAATATGACAGCAATATTTTTCCTTAACAAATCACTGCAAAACACAAATTTCAAAGGTATTTTATTTAAATTTCTCCATCTAGGAGAAAAATATTAACAATATTTATACATGCCTTAATAACTTACTCACTGTACAACTTACAACTTCTATACAACAATACAATAAACCAGAGAAAATAATCAGTCAGCACTTAAATATGAATCTATGTGTAAAAAGCATTGAATATGCTATCTACATTGAATGTGGTATCTAAAGGTGGTATCCACACATTTTTTATGACTGACCTGCATATAGCCATCTTGTTCAGGATGTGTCTAATCATTAAGATGTTTATCCTTCTGATTCATGATATGAAAGCTATTTGATCTTTAAGCATAGAACACATTTTTTATTTTATTTTCTAATTTGGGGAGGACAAAAAAGCTCTATCATTTCATCCCTTTCTTTCTTTTTTGGGTCGGTCGTGGGGCTTGAACTCTGGGCCTGGGCACTGTCCCTCAGCTCTTCAGCTCAAGGCTAGTGCTCTACCACTTGAGCCATGGCACCACTTCCAGCTTTTTCTGCTTATGTGGTACTGAGGAATTGAACCTAGGGCCTTGCACATGCAAGGTAAACACTCTACCACTGAGCCACCTTCCCATCCCTCATCCCTTTCTTATAAGTATGTTTTCCCTTTCTTGTTACTTTCACAATTTTAAATAAAAATATGTTTGTGTATATTCCTACACCAAACATTGCTATAGCATAGAAATATGTCAGTTACTTTATAGCCAGCAAAATGGTCCAACAAAATAAATAGACTAAAATAGTTCTGCCAAAATAGCACCTAGAAAATAGCACTCCAGTAAAAGTTTCTACTGCTGTTCTTATGTGATGTAGGCAACATGGCAATGGCTTAAAAAATATGGGCAGATATGAGAGGGAGAAGACAAGAAACTGGGGGAAAGATCTTAGTAGCTAACATATCCTCTCATGTATTTTATAATCTCAGAGCTACAAGGACTGCCAGAGCGTGTACATGGTGAACAAGATGGAAATGATTGACGAGTGGAATCTGAACTTCTTCCAAGAAATTATATTTTCCAAGGGGGAAAAAAGGCACATTTCAGTTTGGCTCAAAAATAATGAAAATGAATTTCAACTTTAGTTAGTTATAGGTAACAGCTAGTAAACAAACTCTATTTTCCTGTATCTTTTTGGATAGAGCTCAACTATATGGAATAGTGATAACAATAATAATAAACACAAACTACACATCCTAGTCAGGGATTACACGCAATTATTTAACATTTCTACACAGCCTCAATCCTAATGGCTAAGTCAATAAAGTAGGGTCTAATAATTCTAATTAAAATTCTTCTTGATCACTGTCTTCTTCCTAAAACTTAACATGCATTCACTCTAACTTCATTTTTGCAGAATGAAAAATTTAAATGCTCTCATTTCCCACTGACTGAAAAAGTATTACAGTAACATTATATACCATAGAACACCAGCAAATGGAAAGTCAACTAGTATTATATCTGTAAAGCTAACTCAGGTTTCATTCTGATATATGTAAACCATGAATAATATATTTGAAAAAAAAAACAGTAGTTGTGGTCAAATGTATTCTATTGTTGTAACTTTAACAGACAACAATACTGTGTATTACAATTGTAAACATGAGTCCCCAAGAGAATATATCTAGGAAAAGAGACATTCAATGTGATGATGCACCTGACATCCCTTACAGACCCTGTGATAACCGACTGTAGTGTATCTAACTGACTGTAGTTGCTGAGTAGGATTCAGGAATGACCTGGGGAAAACTAGGTTTCTCACCCCACTGAACTACTTTACCAGCAATCATGATTGTGATGAAATTCACTTAGCAAATCACACACTTAAAAAGTCATTAGAACATCCCGTTCTTGTACACTGGTGTAGAAAGGTCTTCCGAAGATAAAACAGTGTAGGCCTGGTTTAATTTTCTCAGCTAGTGCCATTATTATGTTAAGATCGCCCTCTGCTGTTAAATCAAGGTCTATCTTCAGGTTGCGAAGAGATTTAAAGGGCTTTTTCCCTTTCTGCCTACAAATAATGAACAAAGAAAAGAAAAAAGAAAACCAAATGTTATGATGTAGGAAATGTCCAAAGGAATTGAAACAAAAACCCAATGCATACAAAGTTGTTGTTCCGTTTATAAGTTTTACTCACGTATCATCTTCTATATATTTTATTAGTGTCAAGGCTTTTCTGTGAAGGACAAGCAAAAACTGTGCAAGGAAAGTACTCCTGAGAGATAAACCAGGCTTCAAATGGAAGACCTGCAGGTAGAGGAAACATTTCAACACACAGGATTTCTACTTACATAGCACACATCCCTGATAGAACTTTCAGTTATCTGGCAGGGAGCAATACCAGAGCCATTGCCACTGAAGCCCCTGAAAGCACTATGGTGGCAGCAATGGGTCTGCAAACTTTGAAGTCTTCTATTTCATCTTTATAAGTGGATGCAAAGCTTTCATTCTACACAAAAACATGTCAATATTTACCTTATATACTAGATACTTCATGTTGTGCGCTTATAAAAGGGTAGAGATTGGGAGGAACTTTATTTCAGCTTGAGAAACAATCAATTGCAAGACTATGAATTATCCTTCAACTATGCAAAGTATGTCACAGACCACATAAACCCAGATCCAAAATTTCTAATTAATGTAAAGGACAGTCCCTGAGGCTAGTGCTCTATTCCTTGAGCTATAATCCCACTTCCAGCTGATAGGCTTTCCTGCCACAGCTGACTTTGAACTGTGATCCTCAGATCCCAGTCTCCTGAGTAGCTAGGATTAAAAAGTGTGAGCCAGAATGGATCAAGAAAATGTAGTGTATATATATATATATATATATATATATATATATATATATATATATATATATATATATATACAATGGAATTCTATGCCTCCATCAGAAAGAATGACATTGCCCCATTTGTTAGGAAATGGAAAGACTTGGAAAAAATTATATTAAGTGAAGTAAGCCAGGCCCAAAGAAACATAGGTCCCATGGTTTCTCTTATTTGAAATAACTAGTATATGCCTGGGACAAGCAGAAAAAGTCAGATAAGATGATGTTAAGCGAAATGAACCCCAAGATAGGGACACAAGTGGTTTTTTTCTTTCTTGCTACTGTTTCTAATGTATTTATAAGGTACCATGTGATTTTTTTGTTGCTTTGTATGTCCCTCCCCCATGGTATAACCCCTGTTTTCACTGTATTTGATGTTGGTATAATTTGGGGAGGGGAAGGGAAAAAACAAAATGTTTAAATACGGATACAGGTTGACCCATTGCAACAATGAGATGTACATGACGCTATGTTGAAAAACAAATTTTACAATTTTGGCAGGGTGGGGGGGAGTGTAGTTGAGGAGGTGGGAGGGAAGGGGGAAAACAAAGGAGGAAGCAACAATGTTTGATAAGAAACGTACTTATTACTTTGCTCATATAACTGTAACCCTTCTGTACAGTATTTTCACAATAAAAAACTTATTTAAAAAAAGTGTGAGCCACTGGTAGTTGGACTAAATATTAAAAATATTTCTCATTCAAAAGACAAATAATGCTCTCTCTTTAAAATAATAACCACTGAGTTATAATGTAGTGCTTGAAATTGAAAGAAAATGCTGGTTATTTGAAATGGGAAATAATGAATTATTTTTTTACTGATAATGTACTGAAAACTCACCATTAATAATTCAAAAGAAAAATAATTGAGACTTTAGATAAGCCACCGGCATTTTCTAAAGATAAGGACCTAATCCCGTAATATTTTATGTCTATATACTGCAAGGCCCCACAGGACATATTTTAAAAGAAATCATATTGTTTGTTTACTGTCACGATATCTGATGTCATGTTTACCTGATCTAAGAAGGCTTTTACTAAAGTGTCTCTGTGCAGAACATCTTGGAAAATATTCCTATAAAGAAAAGACAAAGGCCCAAATGTTGAAATGATTAAACAAGACTTTTTTTTACAACTTGCCACAATAGTCAGTAAGTTGAATTCTTGCAAACATATTTATAAGGCTAGAACTCTACCATCTGAGCCACAGTGCCACTTTCAATTTTTGAGTGGTTAATGGGAGGTAAGGGTCTCACAGGGACTTTTTGGCCTGGGCTGGCTTTGAACTACAATCCTTGATCTCAGACTTCTGAATAGCTTTAGGATTACAGACATGAGCCACTGGGTGCCTGGCTTGTTCTGCTTTTATCCATAATTGTTATTATTAAGTAGTTGCACAAACGGGTTACAATTGCTTAGGTTAGGATATTAGTACAATGCTTCTTGGTCAATCAAGGCTTCCTTGTTAGGTGATATGAAAAGGCAGAGCATTACATACAAGTCAGGAGTGAAGCTATCGTCTGTGTAGATGATGGTGTCCTGAGCCACGTCCTCTTCTGAAGTAGCTCTCCAGAATGCTGTCAGCTCTGATCTCATGTATCTACGCTGATTAAAAATATGTTCGTGACAGGGTGGCATCTGCCTGACGGTATTGACATCCACATCGATGTGCGTGGTGGGATAGGGGGCATACATGACTTGTCGGAAGGGGAGAACAAAGCTGCCAGTGGAATCCTGTCAAAATGAGAGGAAAACATATTGTCAAATGATATAAACCATTTCTTAAAAAAATTAATGCATGTCAGGCATAAGGCCAGATGTTTGTAATGCTAGCTACTTGGGAGGCAGGAAGACTGTGAGCCAAGGCCAACCTGGGCAAAATTACTGAGATCCTATCTCATAAACAAAATAGAAACAAAAAGGCCTCAGAGGCGGCTCAATTGGGAGGCCCTGGGTTGAATCCCAAAAGAAAGCCAACAGAACAACAACAAAAATAGTTTTGATCTTATTCTAAGAAATTTATCATGATCCTGTGCCAACCTCAATGACAACAGTGCTCATGACAGCATTGGTTTTAACACTGAAACACCAGAAACAAACGTCCAAAAAGAGGAGTGATTATATAAGTAAAATAGGTTTCTTAATTGCTCAGTGGCTAAAAGCAAAGTCACTATGGGTTGCTGATACTGAAAAGGCTTATAATACATTGTTTAAATTTCAAGATATAACATGCAGAATGTATTCCACTTGGGAGAAATTTCTATTTGAAAAATATTATCTAAATCAAGGATACATACTCATACAACCTGCTCCCTCATATATGTATATACATATATGTATATGTGTGTGTGTGTGTTAGTAACAGGGCTTATACTGCAGTCTTGTTTGGCTTTTTCATTCATGGCTGCTCTCTGCCACTTGAGCCATTCTTCCAAGTCCTTCATTTTGCTAGTTAATTGGAGGTGAAGTCTTGAGGACTTTTTTTGCTAGAGTTGTCCTCAGATCATAGCCTCTTAGCAGTTAGTATTACAGATATAATGCCTGACTCAGTTTTTTTTAAATTCTGAGATATGTGGTGGTGACTCATACCTATTAATCTCCAATTAACCAGTAAAAGGCTAGAAATGGAGCTGTGGTTCAAGTATAAAGCACTAGCCTTGAGCAGTAACAGGTAAAGGACGGTGCCCAGGTCTTGAAGAGTTCAAGGTCTAGTACTGACACACTGACACACACACACACACACACACACACACACACACACACACACACACACACACACACACACAAACATACAAACAACAACATGTACAATTTCAGGGTTAGATAACAGTTATAAGGAGCCATCTTGAAAATAAAGGTAAGTAATGGTGTTTCACTGATGGTACCATCTATAAATTTGAAGACATATATACTCTGTTCAGAACTATGTAAAGGAAGTCAGTTTCTGGGCATATAAACATGAGACAAATTAAATGGTGATATTTATGAAGTATTTTTACAGAAAGCCTCAAAAATTATTTTTGTAGCTGGGCATCAGTGGCTCACGCCTATAATTCTTGTTACTCAGGAGGTTGAGATCTGAGGATTGCAGTTCAAAGCCAGCCCATTCAGGAAAGTCTTGTGAGACGCTTCAATAACCTACTTAGAAAAAGCTGGAAGTGGTGCTGTGGCTCAAGTGGTAGAGTGCTAGCCTTGAACACAAAGAAGTTCAGGGATAGTGTGCAAGCCTTGAATTCAAGCCCTTGACCAGAAAAAAAAAATTAAAAAATAATCTAGACACACACACCACACATACATTATATATACACATATTCATAAATATATAAAAGTATATATTTTGCAAGTTGGTTTCACTTGTGATAAATGGAGACTATACCTTTAGCAGGCCTTGTACAAAGAGCCCTGACTCATATTTAAATGATGATTCTGTTTCACATAATCTGGAGCATTTCCTCTCTGCTGGTGTCAGAAAAAGGCATAATGTTCTCACTATCTACAAAAGAAAAGGGTTTTAGCTTAAAATATGAAAGAAAAAGTCCACTGGTTTGCATAGGAAAGAGATACAGACATTTTGTTACCGTCAAATATATGCAAGTAATGAGCATGCCTTAGTTATCTGGAACAGTTCAAGGGATACAATTCTTATTAAAAAAGAAATTCTTGTGGCCAAAGAAGTTTAGGAAATACTTTAAAACTAACTGCATGGTATTGCAAAGCCTGTGATATTTGAATACATACTATGACTCTGGTGAGTGACATACAACATTTCTCAGACTTATTTAACCATGGAACAGCCCTTTATTGGGAAGTATAACTGAATACAATAAATTGTATCTATACTTAGCAACAACTATCAAACAAGCACACAATTTTGAAGAACACTAAATGTAATTAAATTAGGTAGCATTACTACTGCTATTTCAATATTTCTACTTGTAAATCTTATTTTAGTGAATATCAAGACGGAGTGATATTTATCATATTTTCCTTGCAAATGATAGTACTATCCAAGCAAGCCATTGGTGAGGGTTTAGAAACCTCTGATTCTAATAAGATTTGTCCTAGAGTTCTATTAACAAAAATGAACAGACATAAAACTATATGAGTTCAGGCTATATCCAGAGATCTTATTTTAAAGCAGTTTTTTTAACTAAAGTGGGGCAAAGTCTTCTCTTAACAAAAGGCAAGCTAGTAAAGGTAAGAGGATGTTGGATGAGAACAATATGTAATGGAGTTTTCTTCCTTTATTAAGCTGACTGAGAAGACAGCCAATGGCACTCTAAAGTTTTGGGGATAAAGTCACCTTTTTGGCATACATAACAAAAATCAATAAAAATACTAGTCTCTAGAGACTCAATGTGATGACAGAGGTATACTAATCTGTCATAGATAGTTGTATGAGAAATATAATTTTGGCAAACTGTATTTCCTGTGAGTATACAAGATATCTTAAAAATAAATAATGAATATTATTGTAAAGCAAATAATCATGTACAACATGTGAGGATGTGCACTTATCTCTGAATTCCTTCTAAATAAGGTTGAACAAAAGGACAAAATCCCTTAGTTACTGCTGAGTGCTTAGAAACAACTGTTCATGAATCTTTTTTTAGCACATGGGGTCCTGAAAGAAGGGGTCAGAGCGATACTGAAAGGGTAACCTCTACCTTCCACTCAGCAGCAACAGTTCCTTAAAAGGTTGAGATGTAGGGGAAAATCAAAAGATAAAATCAAGATGACAATTAAATAACATTTTTGAGGCTAGTTTCAAAAGTGTATGACTACCTTTATATTTATTACAGGAAATGTTTTAGAATTTACTTGACACACATGAAAAATACCTAATATACAAAATTTGCTCAAAAATATTTATGTACCACTAAGCCTGATATCAAAATGTAACTAATACCCAAATTCTTATTTAACAGGTTATTTCAAATTCATGATAAGTTGTTAGCAATAAAAGTCAGATCCCACTTGGGATTCTAACATGAATTACCTTATTTACTTTCTCTGCACTGCTACCTACTACAATAGAGCAGCCACAGGTCTGCAGGTGTGAGCTGATAGCACTGTAGGTTAAAGAAAACAGATGGAAAACACTGACTATAAAACAACTTTGCAAACTTACAGAGTTAAGTCCAGAATTGCTTTATATGCGATACACCACAACTATAAGCATAATGCTATCATTTATGTGTATAAAACGGGATTTTCATAAAGATTTACTCATTAAAGTATCACTTTATAGCTGAAGAATCTGATATATAGAAAGGTTAAGTACTGAAAGTCATGTAGGATTAAAAATAATGTTTGAATTGTCAACACTAGTAAACTCAAGACTAAAGTGCTCTGACTCAAGCCACTGAGACCATTTAGGTTGAACACTCTGACAATACTATAATGACTCAAGGGAATGAATGCAGACCTAAAAAGTAAATACCTATTGTTTCATTTGTCATTTTAAAACAAAAGTTTGTGATAATCTGCAACTGTAACGAAACACTAAAATAGGGGCTGGGAAGGTAGCTCAGTGGTAGAGTGCTTGCCTCACATGCATGAGGCCCTGGGTTTGATTCTTCAGCACCACATAGGCAGAAAAAGCCGGAAGTGGCGCTGTGGCTCTAGTGTTAGAGCGCTAGCCTTGAGCTGAAGAGCTGAGGAACAGCGACCAGGCCCAGTGTCCAGGCCCCACAACCGACAAAAAAAAAAAACAACAAAACAAAAACAAAAACAAAAAAACACACACACAAACACTAAAATAGAATGCCAGAATACATAAATACATATACATAACTGAAGGTGTGGTTTCAGTTGTAGAACACCAGCCTGAGCAGAAAAAGCCTAGTGTAAGTGCAAGACTTAGTTTAAGCTTCGACAACAGGACAAAAACAGAATGTAGACACAGCACTTAGTATGAGGGACTAACACATAATTCAATAAGTAGCTATTACGGTTATCATTTTCTTAGGAAGCAACAGAAAACTTATAGCTACTGGCCACTGATTTGAAGTGCTAGATACTTTTTATTTTGTGATTTATGACACTCAGTGCTTCAACAACTTTATAAAGTAGATGCTATTATTATTTATTTTACATTTTTCTTTCTGTGAGAGAAGGGATTAAGCTCAGGGTCTCTTGCTTGTCAGCTAAGCACTCTACCACTTGGGCTTTGCAAGCAGTATGTAGGTGTTATTAGCATTTCCATTTTACAGACATGGAAATGAAGGCACCGAATCTTCTGGTACCAGGTTATGCCAAACCCCATGGTAATATGAAAAAAAATCTGTATAGCTATTAACAATTTCCATTTCCAGGCCTAAATACAAAGAGAAGAGCAGACATCTAGCATGCTCAAGGTCCTAGGTTCCAGCCACAGAGCATAGGAAAAACAACTCAGGCACCAGTGGCTCACACCTGTAATTCTAGCTACTAGAGAGGCTGTGATCTGAGAATCAGGGTTTGAAGCCAGCCAGGGCAGGAAAGTCCAAGAGACTCTTTTTTTGGGGGGTGGGGGGGAGGGGAGATGCTCCAGTTGTGGGGCTTGAACTCTAGGCCTGGGCGCTGTCCCTCAGTTCTTCAGTTCAAGGCTAGTGTTTTACCACTTGAGCCACAGCACCACTTCCGGCTTTTTTCTTTTTTGCTTATGTGGTGCTGAGAAATCGAACCCAGGGTCTCATGCATGCAAGGTAAGTGCTCTAACACTGAGCCACCTTCCCAGCCCCCAAGAGACTCTTATCTTCTATAAACTACCTGGAGAAAGCAGGAAGTGGAACTGTGATCTCCAATAAACTACTTGGAGGAAGCTGGAAGTGGAACTGTGACAGAGTGCTAACCTTGAGCCAAAGAAGCTCAGAACAGTGGCCCAGGCCTAGAGTTCAAACCCCAGTACAGGCAAAATAAAAAAAAAAGCAAGAAGAAACAGGTAACAATTTGGCTAGAAAATTCAGGATTTTTATGTGTGCTTCTTTAAGTTTAAGCTCATCGATAGCCGACCTTAATTTGAAAGGTTTCTTCTATCTTTAATGAAAAATAACAAACAAAGGACAGAGATTTCTAACTAGTAAGGAGATTTAGCTTCTTTAAATTATAAAAGAAGGGATGTCAGCCAGGCTCTGATGGCTCATGCCTGCATTCCTAGCTTCTTAGGAGGCTGAGAGTTGAGATCACTGTTCAAAGCTAGCCTGTGCAGAAATGCCCATGAGACTCTTATCTCCAATTAATCACCAGAAAATGGGAAGTGGCACTGTGGCTCAAAATGGTAGAGCACTAACTTTGAGCAAAAGGACTCAGGGAGGGCTGGGAAGGTGGCTCAGTGGTAGAGCGCTTGCCTTGCATGCTTGAGGCCCTGGGTTCGATTCCTCAGCACCGCATAAGCAAAAAGAAAAAAAAAGCCGGAAGTGGCGCTGTGGCTCGAGGGGTAGAGTGCTAGCCTTGAGCTGAAGAGCTGAGGGACAGCACCCAGACCCAGAGTTCAGGCCCCATGACCGGACCCCTCAAAAAAAAGGACTCAGGGACAACACCCAGGCCCTGAGTTCAAGCCCCAGGAGTGAAGAGAAAAAAAAAAGTGATATTATGTATATTACAGGCATAGAGTAGAAAAAATAAAACATATCAATAATGGTTTAACTATGTACTGTTATCCCAGGAATAATATGAATAAGTATTCTATTTTCTTCCTTCTAGATTTTGTCATGAGTGAGCATGGATCTGTATCTTTTTAATCCAGCATTTACAAAAAAAAAGAAAATTCTTACTTGAGAAGAAAGCCTTCATGACAACTGTCACCAATATCGTCATCATTGAGTACTGTATCAGCTATCTAAAAATGCACCCAAGAGGAAAAATTAGTCTAGCAATCACACAGTATTGAGAGAACACTTCTAACATCTTTTTATGAAGTCTAGATTCAATATAATATACTGCCCTCATTTCTGAGCATCATGAAAACCCATAAAACAATCTGTGTGCACTGCTATAACCTTTCAGAAGAACAAACGGAAATGCTGGTCAGACAGGTTAAGTAACAATTTTTACAACTTCCCCTTCTGAACGTCAGAATCGGTGTAGACCTTAATGACAAAGTCAGCAGTAAAAATAGTTTCCTAAAGGTATCTGTAAACACGCAAAATGTACGATATAAAATATCCTCAAAAATTATTAAGGAAAATGATATTAGTGTGAGTGTAAATAAATTTTCACTGAGGGTCCTAATTTGCATTATTTCAAAAAGCATTGCATTAAATGCCAGTAACTACTGGCATTTATTATAAGGAATTATAAGGAATGATGAGATAAATTTAATTTTACTTTTGTTACATATATCAGGATCAGAAGGCTTGTTTGCAGCTCAGCAGTAGAGCAGTTAGCTAACATGATCAAGGATCTGGGTTCTATTCTTAACACAGGGGAAGATAGAAGGGTGAGGATAGGGGGTAGGGGGACTATTTGGTCAGAAAATTCAGGATTTTATGCATACTTACTTCGTTGTGAATATTTCATATTCATGATAATAAAAGTCTACTACTGAAATTAGAATATTGCTAACTGAATCATAATAGAGTAACTCAAGTGAACTGATGAAACATATACCCCATGGGACTTACATCTATTTCTTCAGGAACACTGTGTGATTTCATAGATGAAAGCAGTTCCATTACAGGAATGACCTCCCCAGTAAGCATGGGAATAATACTCTGACCCTGCACAAAGAAGTAAAATAGTGACAGAAACCACCTAATATGGGATACGCTGGGCAATGAAAAGGAAAAAACAAGGAATAATACCCATCAACGGAAATCCTTGGTACCTTGTTCAAAAACAGTCCCAAACATGTCTACTACTTAAAATATTTTTAAAGGATTTTTATAGGATTTAAATTTCCCTTCCGTTTCAGCTGTACTTCCACCTACTCAGAAGGCTGAGAACTGTGGATCTCAGTTCAAAGCCAGCCTGGGTAGAAATGTCTGTAAGACATATATCTCCAATTAACCAGCAAGAAAAGCGGGAAGTGGAACTGAGACTCAAGCACCAGTCTTGAGCAAAAAGTGCTCAGGGATAGTGCTAAGGTCTATATGAGTAAAATAAACTCATAAAAAAAAATGTTTCCTTTGGACAGCACAGACTCTCTGGTAATCATAAGCAACTACATTCAACAACATGTCATCATGTCAATTTAGAAAGGATCTCCTCTGACATTAGTTATAAAATGTTCCTTAGTTAAAAATCATTATTATATTTTCTGTTTAAAAATGAGGAATGTCAAACATACTCTGAAATCCCAATCTCCAAGTTTCAATCAAAATGCAACTGCCACATTCAAAATATATAATCTACCCAAATATAAATCAAAATTATCTACAGGTGTTAAGCATTGAAAAAAACAGAAGCTTTCAAAACAGTATTACTATATATTATATCTTCATCACTGTTTATTACATAGTTAAATGCACTTTTAAATCTGCATTTGTGGACTCAAGTTAATGGCACAAATGTGTAAGAGGTCTTACTCATTCACTGTCATTCCCCATCAATTTGTGAACAACCTCAGTATGGGACTTCTAGAGATGTAGGTGAAACTGCCAGATATCCATCAGTTTTTAGCTAAACAGATTTTATAATCAGTTATTTAATTAGTTCAGTAACTTTTTTCCCACTAACATACTGGGAAATAGTTTTATTCAAATTCTTACATGTATCTTCAAATTAGAACCCCCTGCCTCCTTCCCCTCCTCTGCATCTATAGCTATCTATCTATCTATCTATCTATCTATCTATCTATCTATCTATCTATCTATCTATGACTATGGAGCCCCTTACATAGAAGCTGCTATAGAATTTAAATCTGATACTACCTTTAGAGATTCCATTCTGTACTATAAATCTCTACATTAAATAGTTTTAACTTTAAAATACACACATCATATAGTAACCTCCAGAATTAATCAAACTCATTGTTTTTGCTCTTTAATTTTTGATTTTTTTTTCAATTACAGTTAATGTATACAATCCAATGAGAAAAATGACTGAATTTGTGTTTGATTTCTTTGTTAAGGGATTTTATCAGACGACAGCTATTAGCACCCTACACTAGCACTGACTGAGAATATTTCAGATCAGTGTATCATTCTCAAAACAGTTTGTTCCAACTAATGCTGTTGGAAGGGCAAAAGGTAAGGTATGTGAGGACTCAATTACAAGACAACACTTCCTTTTCAGAAAGGATAATTTTGGGAAAATCCACCCCCCCCCCCCCACCTTCCCCAGCCTAGGTTTAGGCACATATGGTATACTTTGACATGGAATCTCAAGACAGTTTTTGCTGTTTGTAAAGGAACAGCCTCACCGAAGCTCAAGAACAAAACTCAGGCCAGCTGAGCACTGAAGAAGAGGCACAGGAAACCCCCCAGGTTTCTTCTCCTCTTCATATTTCTCTAGACTTCAGAAGGACAATGTTTTCCTGTTAAAGTATCTAGCTTGTCCTAAATATACTTTCCTCCTGACACAGGAGGATAACATTTTTAAGAAGATCCCTTGGGAAAACAGGAAGAAATTCAACCTAGCAAGTACAGGTTTCTAGTTTAAAAAAGCAAAATCCATCTAAAAGAATTTTACTTGGTCCCATACTTATCTTGAAATAATGCTTCTTAGTAATTCTGTAAGCATCTGAGGTTAAAAAGTTGGTAAAAGTTGTCCCATTCCTAGGGACCATACTGACTAATCAGCCAGTAAAGACTGGGTTTCTATGGGAATAGGGAACCTATTTCTTAAAGTCTCATACCTTTCCCCAGACTTATCTCACCTGGCCTGCAAAACTACTTACAAAATTACAAGCATAATTATTTGTAAAGATCATTTTTGTATATTTCCTGTTATGTCCCCATATTTTCAGTTTGTTTTCTTTTTTTGGCATTCTTCCCTTTTGGTCATGCTAAGAAAAATGAGAGAAAAGACAATTGGACATGTTTACAGGATTAAAGTTTAGCCAGGTACAGGTGGCAGTGGCTCACACCTGTAATCCTAGCTGCTCAGGAGGTTGAGATCTGAGGATCTTGTTTCTAAGCCAGCCAGGGTAGGAAAGTCTGTGAGAATTTTATCTTCATTAACTACCAGAAAACTGGAAGTGGTGCTGTGACTCAAACTAGTACAGAGCTAACCTTGAGCAAAAAAGCTCAGGGACAGGGCCCAGGTCCTAAATTAAAGCCCATGATCGTTCCCCCCCCCCCCCCCAAAAAAAAAAAAAGCTTTACAAGAAGGATCAATGAAGGGGGAAGTGTGCCAGGGCAATGAGAGATAAAGACAAGAACATGTCTCCAGTGGAGATTTCTCTCCAGGGGAATTTCATTGCCTATAATGGTGTGACTATTATCTACCACAGCTATTCCCTTGTAATCATGCTGCTTAAAAACTCTACTGTCTGTTCCCCAGGTCATTCAGACCCCTGGGATAAACACAGCATCCCTTCCTAGAGTCAATATTACAGGGAGCCTAACCAGTAAGGTAAAGAATACTATTGGTAAATTTAATATTAAAACAAACAAATCTATCATGAGATAAAGTGTAAGTTGCAAGAGTTTTCAACGTTTAACACTACAGAAATATTATTCTTAGTGCTATGTCTTCACCCTCACACAAAAACTCCTTAGGAGTATATTTGTTCTCTTCCTGGCATAAGCTCCTCTGCAGAAATAGATTCTCAAGCCATATCTTAAAAACGCAGAAACAACCTTTCATTTTTACTATGAATATGTGATCCCAAACTTCTGTGCAAACAGAAAAAAGGAGTAAAATATTAATTTGTTGATTGGGTGGGAGGGCGGGGGGAGGATGGGAAGGGATGGGAAGGGGAAACAAAGGAGGAGGCTACAATGCTTGATAAGAAATGTACTCATTATCTTGCCCATGTAATTGTAACCCCTCTGTACAGTATTTTCACAATAAAAATAAAAAAATATTAATTTGTTAAATGCAATTATCATTGGGATTACTTAAATATTTCAGATATAAAATAAAGAACCCTTCTGTATATCACCTTTACAATATAAAATTTAAAACAATAAAATAAAGAAGTTTTCATCTTGCTTATTCTTTACATCTTCACAAGGACTGTGTCATTTTCAGGCTTACTCTGTCAAACAAATGTCTTCAAGGCCTTCAGTAAAGGTAGCCATCAGCCTTACATATGCTGTGGAAAGGATGGCATTTAATAATTTAACAGTATGCAATCTGCACTTTACCTGATCTTCCATTCTCTCTGTGCCTTCTAAGACAATCTTCTGGACATTTTCTTGCCTTTCCTAAGCAAAGAACAACAACACAACAAAAAAAAAACCTTACTTTAAAAAATTTGGATACTTGTCCATTTTTTACTGCAGATATGTTCTTGTGTAATTTAACTCACAGGAAAAATACTTTCTACTTCAGGAGAAAATAGCATAAGGAGGCAGTAAACAAACTCAACAAACCAACAGCCTCACAGACAATAAAAATAAAATAAGAACTGTCTTTAGTCTATAGTGAAAAAAAGGCTGATTTAGCTGAACATGGTCAATGTAACATCTGCAGTTTCAGAAAGGAAAATGACCAACTTTTCAAATTAAACAAGGTCCAGCTGAATCTGAGGATGTGGAGCTTGTGTACTCTTAATGAATTTCATAAAGGGCTGAAAAATAAGAAGGCAAACCTGAAAACAGAAAAACAACTTAATCTATTAAAGGACACTATTTTCCCTTAAAACCCGGAGTCTTATAAAATTAGTAATATTTTAATGGATTTTGGGGTTGATATTAAACCAGAAAGTTATAAGAATTAAATCTGTTCTCTAGACATGCCAAAACGATACTAAAGTATAAATTTCATTATACATTAAACCATATGATTTAGAGGAAAACAATAATTATCTCTAGCTTGATTTATGAAATTAAAAGTAATCTTTCCTAGAAATCATCTGGTGCAACTTCACTTTTCAAATTTGGGAACTTAGAGACATGACAGGGAGCAAGGACTACTTGGCTGAAGTTTGAGAAACAACTATTTTTGAATTACTATACATATACAGTAAGTGAAAGACAGGGTCATGCAAATGAAAGAAAATCACAAGGTTTTAGAATCAAAGGTTTCATATTCTGAGTTTCTTACCTTTCCAAAGCTATAGCTTTTAGCTTATCATAGAGCTACCATGTCCTACTTCGTTTTTGAAAGAGAGTGAAAGGAGATTTATTTCATGGCAGCCAAGGGGCTTCCAAACACCTTCAGCTGTCTTTGGAGGTACAGATACTAGTATTAGGTTAAATAGGGAGTTATGAGGCAGGATGAGAAGCTATGAATAGTTAAGTCCCAAGTCACAGGCAGGTTCAGAGGTGGTCAAAGGCAGTGTCAGGTGGCCAGACAGTCCCTGATCTCAGGATGGCTTAGATGGTGCCTAAGTTATAGTAATTCATTGGTCACTATCAGATGCTCCCACCCTTCCTGGATTCCGAGATGTCTGCAGAGTGACTTCAGGAGAGAACGGCTTCTTTACTGTGAAGATTACAGACACTAGACCAAATCACTAGACCAAATCTATCAGTAGCTAATAGGACAGTCACAAAATAGTGATTGTTGCTAAATGAATATAATTAAGCAACTATATGTATAGCTATAAAACACAATATGTATATATATGCAGTATGATTGATGCTAAATGAATGTAATTCTAAAAATTAGATATAAATGTATTAGAAAATAAACTTTCAATGACCAGGTAAGCATGCTTAAAAAGCTCAAAAACCACTCACCTTATGCATCCATATTCTTCCTTTCCGAATAATATGTGTTAATCTATCAACACACACTCTGTGAAGCGGAAGGTAGAAACTAAGTTCTGTCTGTGGAAGTATAATCGACAGTCCATATGTACTCCGGTCTCCATTCCAGTTTCCATCAAAGATTAATGAAACAATAATTACTCCTTTTTCAGACAAGACAAAAAACTTTACATCTATAGCCCCACTTTCTGCATTGCGAAGAATTTCTCCATTCAGAGTGTGGTTGGCAAGAAAAGTTATTTCTCCATCACTGAGAAGTCCTTGTTCTGTCTTTGGAGCCCAAATATGCCTTACTCTAGGACCAAGAATATTGTCCCAGTAAGCAAAGGTGGCTGCTAATAAAGGTGATTCACCACTTAAAGCGATCTCTGTCTTGGCAACAGCTGGAGATGGAGGCGGGCAGAGAGTCGACATCACGGCATCCCAGCTCTCACATCATCCAAATGCTCCAGTGATATCTAATCAAGAACATTAGAACAAAAAGCAAAAAACAATTATTAAGTCCAGCAATTTTAAAGACATACACCCAAACCCTGAATAGTTTAGAAAAATGTTACATACATACATTCTTAAAATAGAGCCTCATTGTTCCCAAACACCTAACGATACGTACAATTCTAGTGTGGTTGGTATTTGGTCCCTCAATCATTGTAACTAGAGAGTAGGCAAAACAGGAAGGGAAGGGGAAGACTCAGAGACTGTGACACTTGTTGTGGGTTGAACTGTGTTTCCCCCCAAAAGATATGTTCAATCTTGACCTTCTGTAGGTGTGACTATGATATATTTGGAAATATGGGCAATCAAGTTAACCTGGAGCCATAATTGGTTAAGATTAAAACAAATCCTAATCCAGTGACTGGTGTGCTTTCAAGGAGAAGGGGTAGGGAAGAGGGGGAGGGTAGGATCTGGAGATGAGACATGTAGGCACGAAGGGAAGACTGCCATGTGAATGAAGCCGAAGGGCAGGAATGATGCAACCAGAAGTGGAAGAATGTCAAGATTTCTGGTAACCAACAACCACCAGAAGTGGAAATGTCTGGTAGGAGGCTTCACGAGAGGATTATGTTTCTACCAACGGTACCTTCTGAGCTTCCAAAACTGAGAAAAAAAAATTAGCTGCTGCTGTCTTAAGCCATCTAGTTTATGGTGCTTGTATTTCTAGAAAGGAAATGCAAGAGAAGAGCTGACAGCAGAAATCACTTAAACCTGTTAAAAGAACAACAACAAAAAAATCACCAAAACTCACACTCAAGACTGGAGGCATATTTGTTAGGAAATGGAAAGACCTGGAAAAAATTATATTAAGTGAAGTAAGCCAGGCCCAAAGAAACATAGGTCCCATGGTTTCCCTTATTTGCAATATCTAGTATATGTCTGAGTCAAGCAGAAAAGGTCAGGTAAGTTGATGTTTGGGAAATGAACCCCAAGATATATATTCAAATGTTTTTTTTCTTTCAGGTGATTATTTCTAACACATTTATAAGATTATTTCTTTGTTGCTTTGTACGTCTTTCCCCCATGGTATAACCCCTGCTTTTACTGTATTTGAGGTTGGTATAATTTGTGGAGGGGAAGGGAAAAAACAAATCATTTAACTAGGGATACAGGTGGATCCATTGCAACAATGAGATGTACAAGTCGTTATGTGGAAAAAAGAACTATACAACTTTGGTGGTGGGGGGGGAGGATTGGGGGGTGGCGCGGGGAGGATGGGCAGGGATGGGAAGGGGAAACAAAGGAGGAGGCTACAATGCTTGATAAGAAATGTACTCATTATCTTGTCCATGTAATTGTAACCCCTGTGTACAGTATTTTCACAATAAAAAAAAGACTGGAAGCATATAAAAAAATGAGCAAAGTCCTCTTGCCTCTAATAGTACTGTTTTGTGCTGTTGCAAAACAATTATATGTGAACTTTCTCCTGGACAAGATCACATATGAAACAATTAAAAATAATGTGCATGCAACAAAAAAAAATATCAAACAAACAAACCCAGTCCTATTGCTTTAATGAACTCTGGGTATGAGGGTACTAATATACTAGTATTGACACTAAAATATGAAGAGAAAGACACACAGTTACTATATTAGTCAATAAAACAGGACAGTATATTATCATTGTGAAGAGAGTTTTGGATACCAAGTGGCTAGAATAAAAAAAGCTTCAGTTATATAGAACATGTAGAGAACAGAAACAATTGATGAACTCTGTCCACACCTTTCAGTCTGCCTTGAAAATGGGCACAGAGGTGAGCAAACAAGTTCACAGCTAAGTTAGAACCAAGAGCTCAACTTGTACATCTTAGTATATCAGTGATCCCATATATATTGCTCTGAAAAGACATAGTCTATGTAGTATTAGTGTAAACTGTTGTAAACCACATAAAAAAGACCTAAAGTCTTAAAATGAAAAACCTAAAAATAGGTAAGTTTGAAATTGTGGAATCTGTTTAGTAATCAAGGACAACTAACAGGTGAACTATATGCTATACCTATTTTTGCCTATATGATTGCTTTGGGAGATACCATTTGATTTATAAAAAAATTAGTATCAATGTAAAATATATTACTTAAAAAATATTATCTACACCTTGTCAAGAGACTTCAGCATCTAATAAAAAGCAGTGACTTCTATTTTTAGAGCCTTAGGCGAATGCACACAAAGCCTGGCTTTATAGTTTTTAAGTTGTATTTTCAACTTCAGAAATTTATTTAGGTATTTTCTTCCTATAATATGCCAGCTTAATACTCTCAAGAGGCCACAGTGGATGTAAGTTGTACAGGTTGTTTAAAACATCCATTGTTTCTCATGCAACTGAAACAACTGATAATGAGAAGACACAGTAATGTAATTTGCATTGAGAACTGTAATGATGTTATTTCTGTCATCATTTTATACTACTGATCAGGAATGCAAGGTTATAAATTAAGCAAACATACAAATAGGAAATCATACATTATAAACATTTACCTTTTATTCTTTCTTTTTGGATAAAAGGGGTAGTGTCATAAAGGCAACATTACAATTCAAATATTCCATTACTATTTTGAAAACAAGTGTTTCCTAAAACAGAATAGAACCCTGGAGCAAAATCTGATTGAATTATGGGAAAATTTTTTTTACCTGATTATGAAAATTAAGGTATTATAGACCACCAATTACATTTGGTTTTACTCTTAGTAAAATTAGAAAGAAACCCAAGAATAAGATTATGTTAGGTTGTTTAAAACTTAAATGCTACCAAAAGAAATAACAGTTGTTGCTCTTAGCCTTAGGGCACACATGAATTCCCCACATCTTGAAGCTGCAGAGAGTACTTAACAATGTATACTACTTTATCTTTAAATAATTACCCACGATAAAGTCTAACTTACAGATTAGGCACTATGAGATTAACAATCATAACAAATAATAGAACTACAACAAGATATGTGAATGTGGTCACTCGCCAATATCTTACTTTATTAAACTGGACTCTGTGCTGATGGGAGATGACACAGTGTCTACATGATGAGATGAAGTAAAGGAAGTGACACGTGTACTGTGACTTAGCTTCAGGCTACCACCGACCTTCTTATACATCATGCAGGAACATCTGCTCCCAGTGATACAGACTCACTGAGCTGTGAGGACATTGGTGATTACCTGTCAGGAGCAGATAAGGCTGATGGCTGAGGAGACTCAACACTTGAGTTTTTTTGCTATCATCTTTTGGAAGAACACTGTACTTGGAAGTGATCTCTATCTTTTTACCTCTGCAAAGTGTTGCTACAAAGGCTATAATCCTCCGGTGACTTTAATGTTGTGCTTTGAGCATATATTCTATAACTTTTCCCCTTAATGTCTGAACATGTCAAATTTTGGCAGTGTCTATGCTGCTGATTATGTCTTGGTTTCTTGTTCCTCTTTCTCTGTAGATTACCAAACAATTTGTTCCAATTCCTCATTTGTTCAACTTCTCTGTGACTTTCAATATGTTTTTACACTTAGTCATCAAGAATATCAGCAAATCCTTCTGAATCAAATGGTGTTTGTAGCTTCTCCAATAAGTTTTGTATTTTTCCAACTAAATATTCCTGAGTCTGTAGATCTTAGTGACTGAGTGTAGACTGTTTTTTTTTCCTGCTGGTAATGGGGCTTAAATTCAAGTGTTAGGGCACTGTCCCTGAAGTTTTCTTTCTTTTTTTTTCCTTCCTTCCTTCCTTTCCTTTCCTTTCCCTCTCTTTCTTTCTTTCTTTCTTTCTTGCTTTTTTGCTTTCTTTCTTTTTCTTTCATGCTCAAGGCCAGTCCTCTATCACTTGAACCACAGCTCCACTTCCAGATTCTGGGGTTAATTGGAGAAAAATCTCTCATGGATTTTCCTGCCCAGACTGGCTTTGAGCCGTGATCCTCAAATCTCAGTCTCCTAAGTAGCAGGATAACAGGTGTGAGTCACTGGTGCCTGGCTTCCTTTTTTTTTTTTTTTTTGGGTCCAGTCATGGGGCCTGAACTCTGGGCCTGGGCACTGTCCCTGAGCTCTTCAGCTCAAGGCTAGCGCTCTACCACTTGAGCCACAGCACCACTTCTGGCTTTTTTTCTTTCTGCTTATGTGGTGCTGAGGAATCAAACCCAGGGCCTCATGCATGCAAGGCAAGCGCTCTACCACTGAGCCACCTTCCCAGCCCCGGCTTCCTTCTTTTTTATGGAAGACTTTCATCTTTTTTACTTAAAGGAAATACTTTATAGCTTCTATTTGACATATCCAAATTACCACTATCACTACTCCTGTGCTTTGGGGTCATTAAGTACAATAAGGGCCTTGGGCACAAGTACTGCACTACCATGATAGTGAACCTGACTATTAATTACAATGGCTACTAAGGACTAGCAAGCAGGCTGTCAAGTGTACAGTAGACAAGTGTATGCTGGACAAAGAGTTGAATCATGTTCTGGGTGAGACAGAGCAAAAAGGTGCTACTCAGAATGGGATGCAATTTAAAAAACCTTACAAACTGTCTATTTCTGCAATTCTACATTTAATGTTTCTGGTCTGTGGTTGAATGTAAGTTACTGAAAGCTTGGAGGTATGTGTGGTGGGGGACTAAACCTAAGAAATGAAATATCATTGAGAAGTATTATTAGGAAAGTTGTAAAAACTAATTTTATTAACTCTTGGAGTTGTGATCTCTGGTAAGGAAAAATCCAATCCAGAAATGTATTTTCTGGTGAAAGTACATCTGTGGAGAATGAGTGATGATAGTATGACAGCCCTAAAACCAGTTAAAAAACCAACAGACTTTTACATATGTATCTTGTGTATATATTGCATTAGCTACTCAAGAAACTACACAAAGCCAGGATCCAAAATGGGTGAAATGATGGTTTGCCATTCCTGTCAACCAAGCCCAGGCTTCGGGAGGGTTTACTCAATACTTTCCAGAAATAATCCAAAATATGGGACATCTGATTACATTAATTAGATTCTGTTAAGACTGTTAGCAGATTGATAAATTTGAACTTCCCTTTATTTAAACATTTGATAAATCAAATATTAGCCACCTTTTTCCTGATTAGTATTTAGAAAACTGACTGGCCTGCTGCTAGTGTAACTCGGAATTCTACCATCCTTACCACTCTCACTTCTAGTAACAATGCTTTGGGGTAGGCCCTAAATCAGCTCACCTTCTAAAACAAGAGCACTCAGTACCACTGTAAGCGCAGTGAACTACCTGTAACATTAGACTCTTGGTAACACTTAAAATACTCAAAATTAGGCAAGACTCAAAGATGTTACGTTTACAACAGGGCCATTTCTCAAACACCAGAACTTCCCACCACCACTCCCTTGGAACCTACTCAGTTCTGCTCAAAGGTAGAACTGAAAGGAGAATTTAATGTTTCTTTCTTCTTCTTTTTTTTTCCTCAGAAAGCAAATACTGGACTGCCAGCATAGCTAAATAAAGAGGCTATTATTTTTTTTATCAGCTTCTTAAGTTATATATAATTATTTCCTGAAGCAGACAAATGTTGGTTCTGTGTACAATCTAAAATGTAGCCTATAATTTCTCTCATTTTTATTTCATATATGAAAAAAGCACAGTCATCCTGAGGCAGTTTGTAGCTGATGAGGGGTTTTCCTGAGTGGCAGGGTCTGGTGGAGGTGCTGGTTAACAATGCCTGTGGAACACCCTCATCATACTGTAGTCCTCCCTTATCCAGCTTTACTTTTTCGTGTGTAGGACCTGTGGTCAACCTTTGTCCAAAAACATGAAATGAAAATTTCCAGAAGAAAGCAATTCACAAATTTTCAATAGCACACTATTCTGAGTAGTGTAATAAAGTCTTAGGCTGATTGTTCCATGGTTGTGAATTCTCCTTTTGTCCAGAGTATTCACACTATATATACAACCTACCTTTTAATCACTTAGAGGTTCTCTCCAAGGTCAGATCTCTCTGCCCAGGTATAAAAGTGCTTGTGTTCAAGTGATTCTTATTTTCACTTTGTTAAGTAAAAATATAAAAAATACAGGAAGTGGGAAAGGTCACATTCACAGACCTTTTATTACCACCTTTTGTTGTACTTGTTCTATTACTAGCTACTGTTGTTACTATCTCTCCCCCCCCTTCTCCCTCTTGTCTGTCTGTCTGTTTTTTTCTCTTCTTTTGTGTCAGTCCTTTGGCTTGAACTCAGGCCTTGTGTACAGACCCTGAGCATTTTTACTCAAGGCTACTGGCTCTACACCTTATGCCAAAGCTCCATTTACGGCTTTTTGGTAGTTAATTGGTGATTTGAGTCTCATTGACTTTCCTGCCCTAGCTGGTTTCTAATTGTGATCCTCAGATCTCAGCTTCCTGAGTAGCTAGGATTACAGACTATAACTAATTTCTAAACAATCACAGATCTCTATGTAAAGGAAAAACATGGACTATATAGGGTTTTATGGTACGTAGAGGTATTAACAGGCTCTATCATCTGAGAAGGAGAGACGACGTACTTCAATTATTCGCATTCTATATTACAGTATCCCATATATTATACTCTGAGGTGCTCTTATGTTATAAATCTCCCAAGGTTGGCTAAAGGTCCTATTACCATTTCCAGTCCTGCACTGACGGTTTTTCTGGACAGACGGAGAGTCTTTCCTCTGCATCAGTGTTGGTGGAGGGAAACAGGGTGAATAGGCATTTACTCACATGCCATAACCAGACAGCGGCTCCACGAGATCCTAACAATCTCCGAAAGGGCCACGCTTTCCCTTCCCTGCTCCAGACAGGTCGGTGCAATGCACCCTGTCCAGAGAACGCGTGAATGCAGAAGTAATCAGTGCACTTCTGCAAATGATTGCCATCACAATGGTTACTTCCTATTTAATCAGTGCGTGCCACCTCAGGGCGGTGGAGTCACCAGCTTCAGCAGAAGGGGAGGACCCGCACCCCGCACTGGGGCGCACGCACACCCGTCACCAGATGTCCGCACTCCTCTCAAACTTCTCCTGGAATTCTGTAGGCACGCAGGTCCGCAACCCCTCCCACCTGCCACGTCCCCTCGAGGTGGGCTCCCCGCCGCCCCAGCCCCGACCCCGACCCCGACCCCGGTCCTGGTCCCGGCCCCGGCCCCAGCCCCGCGCCCCAGCCCCGGCCCCGGCCCCGGCCCCAGCCCCGGCCCCGGCCAGGCCCCTCAGCGCCCCAGGCTCCGTTCTCATCAGCCCGGGGGAAGTGGGCAGCGCTCCCTACGGCTTCCCCCAACGATCCTCGGAAAGAGTCGGGACCCGGGCATGCGGGCGAAAAGCAAATCCGAGGCCCGGTCCCCATCCAGGTCAGAGCCCGGGCCCGCAGACATCCAACTCCACCAGTCACTAAGGCTGGAACGCCCGATGGCGCTCCGAAAGGGAGACCGCGGGGAGACAGCCCGCCGTCACCCCTCCACCATCTCACCAGGCTGATCCCCACGGCCGACCGCCCGGGCTGGCTCCTCGACTCACCCACACCGCCAGCACCGCCGCCGCCGCAGCCCCCGGAGCCTCAGCCGCCGCCGCCGCCGCCGCCGCGGGCGCAGGGACGGCAACCGCAGCCCACCCGACCTGGCCACGCCCATCGCCACGCCCCCGAGCACGCCCCCTCGCGCATCCCAGGAGCATCAGGGCCGCCGGACGCCGCGTTTGTTTACTTCTCGTTTGTTCAGTTCGGGTGTTTTTTTTTTTCTCCTTGTTTACCTTTAGCTAATATTGTGAACGCAAGTGGAAGGGAAGAAAGACGGGGAAACAAAACACGATACTACGCACCTTCTACACAGACCCTCCTGCTGTACTCCCGCAGAGAGAAGGAACCGGGCGGTACGGGCTACTGACGGACCAATCGCCATTTTTCTGACGGGCGGAACAGGTCCCTGCGTGCGCACCTCTACGTCCTTACGGGACACTGTAGGTTGGGTGTAGGCGCTGTCGATCAATGGGGGTGGCCTGTGAGAAGGGGCGGTGCGGGGCGGGCGGTGCTAATTTTCCCGGTCCTCGTGGCTGGAATCCGGTGTGCTGTCTGCGATAGAGAACCTGCCCAGGGCCTCAAAAGCCGTTGGGACTTGGAGCGAGTAGTTGTTAGTAGTTAGCGTTAGTGGCTGTGAATGGCTTTACTTTTGATGGGAAGGCAGTGCAGACCCAACAGTGTGATGGGCGAATGGCTTGATGCTTTCTGCGCAGCACACTTAGCTGCCGTGCTGACCTCGCTCCCAGCATTGGGAGACAAACCCCTGGGTTTGTAAACGTCACTCTTGCTGATTGCACACGTATGCCAGTGTGTTAAAAAAAAAAAAAAAAAAAAAAAAAAACGTGAAAAAAGGCACCATTACGTTTGATACGGTTTATGGTTGATTTTATTTTTGTTTTAGTCTCTGTGTATGTTCGTTTTTCACTACATATTTGTAGCACTGAGCATTAAACGTTTGTTTAAAACATTAAACAAATGTTTTAACCCCCCCACCCCACCCCCAATTCTAACTGCTCTACATCCTGAGCTCCAATACACTCCTCAGCTTTCCAAGAAATCAGTGGGGGGTGTGCAGGGGAGTCAGTCCTGTGGCTGTGGACAGCTAGAGGGGAGGGACAGCCCTAGATGCTAGCATGAACGTGAGCTGCTTTGGACATAAGCTGTATATTTATCTTTGTTGGGATGTCTGTCCTTCTGATAATGAGAAGAGCACTCAGAATTTGGGGCTCTTAAAACATATACATATTATATCTATCATCGATAGACAGATGGATAGATAGATATTTGTCTTTGCTGAGGAGTGTGTATTCCACCAAGCCAAATTCTGGATGCTCTTCTCATTAACAGAAGGACAGAAATCCCAACAAAGAAATATACAGCTTATGTACGAAGCAGCTCCTGTGTTCATCCTAGCATCTAGGGTTTGTAAGGTCCATTCCTGGACGGCGAACAGACCTCGTCCAGTACCTGCATTACCTAGGCAACTGGGACACCTGGAAGAGGTCACATCTGCATCCGCTGAGGTCACATCTGAATTTGCTGTGGCCACACTTTTCTCTGCCCATAACCTAGATAAGGCCTAGCCCAGGCCCAGATGCCCTCTCTCTCTGCTCTTTTCTAGCTCTTTCTCAGCTCTTTCCTTCTCTTCTCTTTCCCAGCTCTCTTCTCTTTCCCAGATCTCCCAGCTCTCTTTCCCAGGCCTTTCCCCACCACGTGGAGGACCAAGATGGCCTGGTGCCTGCCGGAACGATGAATAAACCTACTCCTTATCTGAATGCCACGTGCATGGTGCTGTTCTTACTCGGCTACCTCTTTTTAAAAAACCTAACAAGGTTGTTCCCTCCCTTCTCACTGCCCATGGCCACAAAACTGATTTTCCCCCCATCTTTTTGAATATCTGAAGAGTGTATTGGAGCTCAGAATGCAAATGGCAAAGTAGAGCACTCAGCATTTGGGTGCCTTAAAACAAATGTTTTACTACTCAACGTTAAAATTCAGATAATAAATCAGGTTGCCATTGGTTCACATCTGTAATCTTAGCTACTTACAAGACTGGCATCAGGATAGAAGTTTAAAGCTGGGGGGTAGGCGGGGGAGGGGGGGGAGTGTATCTGAGACTCTATCTCCAGTGGGGGGGGGGGGGGAGTGTATCTGAGACTCTATCTCCAATTAATCACCAAAAAGTTAGAAGTGGAGCTGTGGCTCAAATGATAGTGTAGCCCTGAGCAAAAAACAAACAAAAAACCCCACTAAGCAACAGACCCCAGGCCCTGAGTTCAAGCCCCAGTACTGGCACGAGACAAAAAAATTATACAGCATGTTTTAATCATTTACCAAGGAAGGGAGGAATGAATACACAAAATAAATTCTTCATCTACCTCTGTACCCTCTGCAGGAATAGTCCCTTTAAACATGTTTATTCATACCAACCAAATAGTTACTAGTTACTGAGTTCATACCCTGTGTTATGTACTATGCTCCTCAGCCTACATAGCAATTTAACTTTATGCATGGAATCGAAGAAACCTCAAACAGGAAGAAACAGTAATCTTTGGAAGCCAAGAGTGAGGCTGGCAGGTCAAAGGGTACAAATTTGAAGTTATATGAGATCAAGTCTGCAGATCTAATGTATAACATGAGGACTGTAATTAATATTATATTTTATTATTGAAATTTGCTAAGATGAGATTTATCATACACATAAAGATAATTTGTTTGCCTGTAGTTATCACTACACACATTGTATATCAAAATGTCAAGATGTTGTTACCTTTGTCTTACAGAGGAGATAATGGGTTCAGAGAATAATTTATTTATTCAAGGCCACCTACTTTAATTGATTTGGGTCAATTTGATACAATTGCATTGGGGTGGCAAGGACATCTTTTGGTACCAGGCTGATGATTTTTATTGCCCTACTCCAATTATACATTTGGTAGTTAATAAAGCCTCATGTGTAGTAAGGTTGGAACTTATATAAAGCGCCTGGAGAAGGAATATAGCTCCTAAAACAGTTTTCCTACTTCAAAATTTTACCTAAAGACAAAATAAGTTGAATTGTCTACAACAGGTTTCTGGGTTTGTGCAATATCAACCCTAGAACAACTATGTTTTATAACAGAAATGGTATACCATGACCTAAAATTATGTGTGATTATAAGAAATACAAACATTTCGCATGACATTTTGTGACCAATGAATATGAATTATCCCTATACTTTGGACATCTAATAGAATAACTACTTGGTTATTAGTATAGTAATACAATGACTCATGACTCTCATTAAATTGGAGCAAATGAATTAAAACTCAGTAGACAAGCAGTAATTACAATATAGTTTGGTGGTTGGTAATACCTATGTTTCCTGAAGATGTAAAATAGGATGATGAATACTCTATCACACATCCCTTCCTCAGGAAACCTAAGGGAAAATGACATTGTGTTTAATAATGTGAGGCTACTCAAAGATTGTCCTGGCAGGTTTTCAAACTCTCCAAACAGTCCCTTCAAACTATCCATACAAAGCTCCCCAAATAACTGGACCATCTAAGTGAAAACAACTTTTGCAAAAGAGCAATAGAAAGGGTTTAACTGATCATACGTATGCATGTATGAAAAAACCTGGAGAAACCCTTTTATATAATTAGTATACATATTTTGGAATTAAAAAAAAGTTGTTTTTTGCTTTTTTTTTTTGCTATGAGAATATCTCTTCAAGCAAGCATCTTCCATTGCCAATCACAATAAGACCTTTTAAAACCTGTAGTGCGGGGCTGGGAAGGTGGCTCAGTGGTAGAGCGCTTGCCTTGTATGCCTGAGGTCCTGGGTTCGATTCCCCAGCACCACATAAGCAAAAAGAAAAAAGCCGGAAGTGGCGCTGTGGCTCAAGTGATAGAGCTCTAGCCTTGAGCTGAAGAGCTGAGGGACAGCTCCCAGGCCCAAAGTTCAGGCCCCATGACCAGACCCAAAAAACCCCCAAAAAACAAAACCCTGTAGTGCCTGGTGCTGGTGGCTCACACTTGTAATCCTATGTACTGAAGAGGCTGAAATCTGAGGATGGCAGTTTGAACCTAGCCTGAGCAGGAAAATCCATGAGCCTCTCCAATTAACCACCAGAAAACAGGAAATATGGCTGTGCTTAAAGTAGTAGAGTGCTAGCCTTAAGTGGAAAAAGCTCAGGGACAGCAGTTGGGCACCAAGTTCAAGCCCGATGACTGACAGAAAAACAACAACAACAACAACAAATGCACAAAATCCAAAACCTTCTGTAGCAATTTTGAACTATCCACATATAATTGATGCTCAATCATAGAAAAAGGTTTTCCAACCAGGGGAACTGTAAAGCAGGTTAGGAGCTTGGTCTCTGGAATCATAATGAGTGATTAATGTACTTTTGATTAGTTACATCACTTCTCTGTCTCAGTTTCCTCAGCTGTGAAATGGCATGGATACTAACATATCATGGGGCTTGTTTTAAAGTTGGTATGCAATCACCCAACTAGAAATTTACATCAATACATTCAAGCTGTGGTGGCTCTAATCTTAATGTGAGCAACTACTTGGGCTAATAGAAGCAGGAACAAATGACATAGAAGCCTTTTAAATTATGTACATATTTACAGTTCTAAGAAATACTATATAAGAAGCAGACAGTCTTCCTGCTGTGTCACAAATGCAAGTTGCCAGAAAGCCTTTTTTCTATCTTCTCTATTAATGTATTTCAGAAATATAATATGTGCTGTTTCAGAGCTAGAGCTGCCTACTCACTGATTAGCTTCCATTTACCAAGATTACAGCAAATTAGATTTAACTGTGACTGGCATGTGAATGATCTCCTGTTGGACATGGATGAGGAATATTGCTCTATAAACCATAGTGCATTTAATTTCTTCTAAGTAATGAGTTTTAATGTGGTTGCCTTAATCACTGCAGACTTATCAATATGCAGTTTGTGGCACACGACCTTTTGGTTGGAATATGTATGAACCCACATTCAGCTGAGTTATATCTAAGTAGAATTTTGGTTACTGCATATATAAAACTATTTCTGTGAGCCAGTGTGGTAGAATGATTTAGAAAGCTCTAGTGGGTCTCTGCCTAGAGCTACAATTTATTGTTCCAACAATGTACAAGGTAGGTAGCACTCCTGCAAGAGAATGTCATTAGGATCCAATATGTATGTGCTTTCAGATCCTCCTGGAGTCATGATTCTGAAAACAATAATCCAGTATGTTTCCCAATGACAGGAATCCCATCCCCTGTCAGTTATTAGTCCCTGTTCCTTCCATGTTGGTGATCTTTTTTATAAGCCACAGTTGTGAATGATGTAAGAACCTAGAGAGAGTGTT